CACAACCTCCCTATCCGCCCTGCTCTGTTCATGACAGGGGAAGGCGCCCCATTCCCTCCTGATCGGCCCTGGAGGTGCAGGAATGCAAATCTGTGTGGGTATTCCCTTGTAGGTAATTGAGCCTCTTTCTCTTGCTGCTTTTAAGATTTTCTCTTTGTCTTTTGCTCTTGGCATTTTAATGATGATGTGTCTTGGTGTGGTCCTCTTTGGATTCCTTTTGTTTGGGGTTCTCTGCGCTTCTTGAACCTGTAAGTCCATTTCTTTCTCCAGGTGGGGGAAGTTTTCTGCCATTATTTCTTGAAATAGGTTTTCAATATCTTGCTGTCTCTCATCTTCTGGCACTCCAATAATTCTGATATTAGTCTGCTTGAAGCTGTCCCAGAGGCTCCTTACACTATCTTCACACTTTCGGATTCTTTTTTCATTTTGCTTTTCCAGTTGGGTGTTTTTTGTCGAATCTTTGGTTTGATTCTTGTGCTCCTCTGGTCTGCTATTGGGTATAATATTCTTTATTTCAGTCCGTGTATGCTTACTTTCTAATTTCTTTATCGTAGCATCGAGGGTCTCATTAGTTTTCGTGAGGCTCTGTTCAAATTTATAGCAAGCCCTCAAAATTGCGATTCTTAGCTCCATATCCTCCATTTCTGTCATATTTTTTGTCTCCGCATCTTTTATGCTTTCTTGGTGCACCCCCTTGTGGTCTTTGTGCGCAGTCTTGTTCTAGCCAAGCCTTAGTTGTTGTAGTTAACACTAGAGGGATTTGACCACCAGGCCGACTGGCTGTAGGAATCAGCTGTGTGGAAAACGTCTGTCTTCTGGGGAGGCGCTAATCCAGCCTTTGCTTGAGGCGATGGGCAAATGGCTGTGCACAGGGCTTGGGCGGGGCGGGCTCAACAGGGCGGGGGGAGGGAGCCGCTATGGCTGCTCTCAGTCCGTCCCCAGGGGCTCTGCCTCTCTGTCCCAGCAACCGCTGCAAACCTCGGAGGGGCCGTAGCCAGACAGTCCCACTTCTCCCGTTTGAGTCTGGGTCCCTAGAGACTCACCCGGATCTGTAGCCCAGAGTCTGAGACTCACTCCTGATTGAAAATGACAACCGCGCCCTCAGCCACCAGCCCGCTTTGCGCGCGCACCACCTCACCACCGCACCACCGTACCTTTAAATTTTCCACACTGCGCCTCCTCTGAGCGTCGGAATGCTGTTGTTTTTCCTTCTAGTTGAAGAGTCTCTCCTCAGCCAGCCCTCCTGTGGTTCTGGTTGATGTCCGTTCCGTCTTTTAGTTGTATTTTTGAAGTGGTTGTTTACGGCGACAGTCTCCGGTGTTTACCTATGCCGCCATCTTCGATTCTCCTCCATTAGTATCAGGGCGTTTCTTATCTCCATTCCAGGGAGTAAAGATTATGTAGCTTAACTACCCGCCTGGCACTTAATTAAGGGCTTGTATACCCTCCCTAACCTCAGGGAAAAATCCCCACCTGGGGAAACAACCTTTCTCAGAGAGGTGACCTCGGTTAAAACACATAGCGCCAAGAAGGTAAGCAAACATATTAAGAACAGTATGCCATATATGCCAGGTCCCTTGAAACAGCAAGGCTGGACCGGCTCCCAGCACTCACCCAGGGAGGAAAGCCCTACAAAGACTCACAGTCCCCAGAACCCAATGGGAAGGCAGGCAGCCCACACCCTCCTGGCGGGCACAGGGGACCTGGATGTGTGTGGACCACGTGGCAGCTGTCACCCACAGGGCCCCGTGGACAGGCAGTCACTTAGGCAGAACCTGTACCTGGAACCCGAGGGCGAGAGCACAGGGCCAGGCTGTGCTGTGTCACCCCCTCCTCCCTCCCTGTGCGGAGCAGATCCCCAAGGGGGCCATCTGCATGGTGGTGCCTTCCAGCTGAGTTTCAGGCCTTCTTTTCCCAGGAAATGGCTTTCCTGGAGAGCTCCTGGCTCCCAGGAACCCAGACTTCAGGGCACATGGGGGACGAAGCTCCTGATCCGCCACAACCCCCCTCCACCCTGGAGCTTCCACTCTCCCTAACTCGGAGTCCAGGCATCCCGGAAGGACTGAAGGACTGGGTCACAGTGACAGAGGAGGGCTTTCCAGCCTGGCCTCGGGGCAGGGGTCCAGGCACTGCAAGGTCTGGAATGTCGCCACCCCATTGTAGAATCAGACTGGGGACCAGCCTGTCGCTGCAGGCTATGGAGCCCCCTCACCCACAGTACAGGGCCACCTTGGGCTCCACAGGCCCTCCTAGGTCCTGGCCCCAACCTGCAGGTGCAGGACCCACCCCAGCGGGGCACCAGCCATGCCCCCCAAATCCTACTCTAGCAGAAGTGCACCTCACTGCCTGGGGCAGGGGGGGACTCCACAGCCCCTTCTCACTCCCTGGATTTGAAACTGAAGCTCCTCTGTCCACTGGAAGCCGCTCCCAGCCCCGGGGAGAAAGGAGGGGCTCTGTGGGGCCTGAGGGGACTGTGCACCTCGGTGCCTCTCCAGCAGGTGCGCCAGCACCAGGAGAGCGGCCTTGGTGGAATGGGGGTCCCCTCTCCACCCTCCTCTCTGCCGCCTCCAACCAACCAGGCCCAGGGAGCTGGGGGAGCCAGAGGGTGGGGGCGGGGAAGAGGGGGACTGGCTGGTCCTGGTCCCCTGCAGGTCCGCCCAGCTCTAGAGAAGCTCAGAATGGGAGACTGAGGGTCTGCGTGGAAATGAGGCTGCACTTCATTTGGTCCCAGGAGTTGATCACATTGGAAAATGGGGATTCGGCGCCGCGGGGTCAGAGGGAGCAGAGGTGACCATGGAAACACAGCACCTCCTGTTTGCATGCGGCCACATCCAGGTCATTAAAGCCTCCATGACACACTGACTGCGACTGAAGGAGGAACAGGGACGGTCTGCATCCTCTGGGGCGGCCCTCCGGGCTGTGGCCTCCAGCCCCGGGCAGCAGACTCACCTCCACCCCAGCCAGGAGAGCTGCCAGGTCGCCCTCTTCCAGCTGCAGCCATAGCTGCCCATCCCACCTGGTCCCCCTCCCAGAGCCTGGGCTCCCCCAGCAGCACGGACCACCCACTGGCCGCCTTGGCCACGCCCACAGGTAAGTCCACTGAGTCCAGAGCAGTTTTTCATGCAGTTTAATGAGCTACAGGGGGTGGGGAGGAGGCAGGAGTCCTGCAGTGCCCGCCCGACTTCAGAGCACACCCCACCTCTCCCTTTTGCCTGTCAGGGGAGAGAGGCTGATGGAGGTGCTGAGGCGGGATGATCTCAGAGCAGGTGGGGGGTGAGGGGGGAGGCGCGCTAGGTGCAATGAAGAGCTGGCTCTGGGAGGGAGCAGGGAGGGTCCCCCAGACACCCTGGAGGGCCTGTCTTCATCTCATGGGCAGCTTCCTTGCCCGGCCCCGGGCTCAAGGAGAGGAACGAATATGACGGCGGATCCAAGGCAAGAAGGATGTCACTCGGGCATAGACTCCAGGAAAGTTGGGAAGACCGCAGCCCTCCCCCCAGCTCACCACGCCTACCTGGACCCAGGTGTCCCTCCATTTACAGACCAAGGGGCCCCCAGAGTCTCCCTGTGGGAAGAGGACACAGGGGGTCAGTACTCAGGGCCCCTGCAGGCAGGAGCAATGGACGGAGGCCACAGTCTGGGGGTCTCACCTGGCAGGAGTCTCGGCGCCAGCTCCCGGCACACAGCATGTCGTCCCTGATAACCTTGCCGATCTTGAGGTATTGCCAAAGACAGATCTCATCGGCCACGATGGGGACGATCACTTCTTGCAGAGTTTTGGGCGGCATTGGCTCTGTGAGAAGAAGCCCAGTGAGCCTGTGGTCTTGAGGGGGCGGACAGTCACAGGCCGCGGGTTCTAGAACCACAGGCTGAGCCTCAGTGCCCCCAGGGGGACCCTGGGAGTCACCCAAGACCCCAACTGTGTGGGTTCACTCGAGGCCAATGGGCTGATAATCTCTAGGCTGACACTGTGGGCACCAAGCTCCAAAAAGAAACAGGGAAATATATTTTTATCCACAAATAGTTTTTATTGGGAAAAAACAGAATAAGTGCTTTCACCCAAGAAATGCAGAGTGAGCGGCCCTACTGTCAAATTTGACTTTGTCCATTTAATCGTGACCCTTGAGCTCGTCGCTGAAGTTCTCTCTCCTCGTTCTCCCTCCCACTATCGAGACTCAGGGAGAACGGGGACCCCCGGAAGGGAGGACACGGCCTTGTGCAGAGTGAGGGAGAGAAATGCCCATGGCACCCTGGGCAGTGTTTCCAGTGGTGAGAGCAGTGACCCGAAGGGTCCCAGGTTTGATTGTTGGTCAAGGGCAAGTACCTGGGTTGCAGGTTCAATCCCCAGCCCGGGCCGGAAAAACAACTAATAGATATACTTCTCACATCGATGTTTCCTATCGCTCTCCCTTCCACTCTCAAAAAATCATTGGAAAAAATATCCCTGGGTGATATTTATTTTAAAAAGATGCCCATGGCCAGGCCTCACACTTGCTACTTTGGTCTCTGCTCCTAACAGACTCCTCTCGAGTTGTCTGCCTCCTACACCCAAGGGAGACCCCGGGGGGACAGCTCAGACCCCAGCTGAGCCTCCTCTGTAAAGCCTGGCCCGCCCCCTGCATCGCCCGGGTGTCATCCTGGTTCTGGTTCTCACCTTCAGAAGCAGTGTTTCCCCAGCCAGTCACCCAGCACCGTGTGCCTGGGAGGAATGCGGAGGAGGCTGGCGGGAGGCGGATCCACCTGACGAGGTTAGATGGTTGCACGGGGGCCTCCAGTTCGAGAAGTGCCACGTCTGCCCCACATTCTGGTCCCTGCTCAAGGCTGTACTTGGGGTGCTGGATGATCCTAGCCACCTTCACACTGTCATTGTGTGAGCGTCTCACTTGTCCTAGTTGGACCTTAAAGTCCCGAGTCTCTGGGTTTCTCCTGGGGACAGAAGGACAAAGGCTTCTGAGAGGCTGTGGCAGGAAGTGGACCAGCCCCTCAGAGCCCAGAGACCTCCCTCTGTGGTGGGCAAGGGGAGCGCCAGGAAGCTGAATCCTGGTGGGGGGTCTGCAGCCGCTCAGCCCAGGATCTGCCCCCAACACACATCACATGCCTCCCGACATTGTCCACCCCAACCCCCGGGTGCTGGCAGAGTCAGGCTTACCCTGGAATGCAGTGGGCAGCAGTCAGCACCCACTGGGGGTGGATGAGGGAGCCCCCACACCAAAGAATCCACTCAGAACTTGCTGGATGGCAGAACCACAGGCCCACCTGCCAAGGCCACTTCCCATCGGCAGCATCATGCCCCCCCACGATGCCCACCAGCTCAGTCCCTGGGCCAGGATCTGGGGAAGCAGAGGAGGAGCCATCAGGGACCCAGGCACCGCTGCCCGGCACTCAGCATGGCCCCATCCTCAGTCCCTCCCAGAGCCATCCTCAGAGGGGGATCGCCACCCATCCCAGGGGCGGCCTCTGAGAGGTCAGAGTCAGGCTTCGGGGTCAGGACCCACCTGAGGTCACAGGTACGGAGCCCCCCAGACAGGGGAGAGTCAGGACCAGCAGCCACAGCATCTGCAGGGGGAGAGGGCAGGGAGGAGAGCCAGTGAGGAGATGCGGGGCGGGGACACAGCCTGGGAAGGGAGAATATGGGGCTTTGAGCAGCGTCCTCACCATGCCAGGTCTGTCTACCTCTGTCCTGGACCCTCTGAGCCCCTTTATCCTCCTGCCAAACAGACCCAAGGGGAAGCCGCCCTCCTTTGGGGTGGGGCATGGGAGGAGACGGGGCTTATCTCTTCAGTGGGACCAGTGGTGACCAGCAGACCAGCTATCAGATGAGAAACATGGTGTTTCCTCTCTGAGAAGACACTCAGTATTGGTGCTGGTTTGGTTTAGTGGATACAGCATCAGCTTGTGGACTGAAGGGTACCAGGTTTGATTCTGGTCAAGGGCACATACCTTGGTTGCAGGTTCCTCAGCCCTGGTCAGGGTTCTCTCTCACATCCATGTTTCTCTCTGTCTCTCCCTCTCCTTGGGTGAGGATTAACTAAAAATAAAACTAATAAAAATATTGGTCTGGAAACATTTCAGTGGTAAGATGACAGTTTCCACATGAAAAAGAAATAAATGAGATGCTTTGCTCGTCCTGTACACTGAAGTGTCTCAAGTTCAATTCCCAGTCAGACCACATACCTAGGATGAGGGTTCATTCCCCAATCGGGACACGTACAAGAGACAAATGACCGATGTTTCTCACATCTCTCTCCCTTCCTCTCCCTAAAATCCATAAGCATGTCCTCGGGTGAGGAACTAAATAAATGATAAATAATCAGATGCTCTGAAACAACACAGAGCAGGGGCACGGATGGGATGGGGACTGGCACCTGAGCCAAGAGCAGGGCCTGGTGGGGGGGGGGGGAGGAGAGCATGAGACCCCTGGGTCCCGCCTCTGCCCCCCTCCTTCTTTTTGAGGCTCACAGTGTCCCCCCAAAAGACAGACTCGCTGAACCTGCAGACAGAGTTTGCCAGCAACACCATGAGATGGAGGAGGCAGCTCCTGAAGCTTTGAGTTGGACTGCTGACACCTGAT